AAAATATATATTATTAAACCTAAATTAAGCTACTTCGTTACGTTAAATTAAATTATAATAGAAAATTTGAATTAAAAAAATACACAAACAAGAATTTTTAAATAGTTAACTTGATATTAATATTGATATATTTTTTACAAATTTTATATGATATTTTCATATTTATATTTAATTCAAAAATAAAAACATTATCGCTTTCTCAAAATCACATAAAATCGTATTATATCGACATGGATAAAAAATAAAACGTAACATTGAAACGGAAATATGTCTCGATGCATTGCACGAATACCCTTCTAGTATGAAAATGAGAGTTTTTAATATCATTTCTAGATATAAAGTCAAACATCCAAATAAACAACCTAATTTCCCAAATTTTCGAAAATCTCATCTCATAATTGATTCATTTCTAAAAAAATCATGAAAATTGATTTAAACCAGTAAGTTTGTCCTTAATTTTTTTTCCCACCCATGCTTGATCATTATTTTAATTAGAGATGGCCAAAATCTGGTCCTGGGCCGGGCCTTAATCGGTCCTAACCAAGACAAAAACCGGCGGGAACCGGTCCCGGTCCCGGTTTCAGTGATTTTCCTTGTAACCCGGTCAAGCTTACCGGTAACCGGTTATCCCAACCGGTCCCGGTTCCGGTCCCATAACCGGTTCCGGTAAGTCCTATTCAAAAAAAAAATAAAAATTTATTTTTTTTTCAAATTTTTGGTTATTAATAAATTTTTAATATGTTATTAATATGTTTTATTATAAATATGTTTTGTTATATATATATATATATATATATACGTTTATAAATACGTTTTGTTATATATTTATATATATATATATACGTTTATAAATACGTTTTATTATTAATACGTTTATAAATACACAATAAAAATACGTTTTATTATATATATACGTTTCGTTGACCGGGCCGGTCCTATAACCGGTTACATAACCGGTCCCGGTCTTAACCGGTTTTGGTCCCATAAAACGTCAAAAACCCTAACCGGATCATAACCGACGGTCCCTCAACCGGTCCCAGTCGGTTTCGGTCCTCCGACGGTTACGGGCCAGGACTGGCCCATTTGACCATCTCTAATTTTAATGGTCCAATGCCGGCCAGTCCATTTTTTCTAAAATGTTTGACCTTGGTCACTTTTCTAATGTACCGAATCTACCCGGTTACACTGTTCATGAACACCTCTAGTTTTAATCACCAAATATTTTGCAATCAAGGTGTTTTTCACAACCCCTAAATTCATTTTATACAGATAAACATGATGTTTCACTTAACTCATAATGTGAACAGTACAACTTCATATGTAACAAAGTATCCCATTTACAATTTTTAATTGAAATTATATCAACATACTTAGATAACCTTAAAAAACTACAAATACAAAGTATTGAACATATTCAAGACATCACTGTAAAGGAAACTCAGGTAAGCTCTTGTTTCTGAAAGAAAATTTGTAATAAAAGACTTGAACATGAGACCTCACATATGAAAACAATGAACTAATCAAATGACCAATGATAATTTTATGAAAAATATCTCTATATTTATTTCTTATGGTAAAATGGTGTCACTGTTTAAAAAAAAATTAAGTCCATCCCTGAACAGGCTGAACTGGTATCACTTTCTCGAATTGAAAAAAATGAGGTCTCAATTGCAAACAACTTAATAGTTCAAGGTTACTTTTAAACTTATTCATATTTTTTATTGTCGTTGGGAAGTTCGAATTTTGCTTTCAATTCAGTACCAGTCGTTGCAATCTCACCATCTTCCCTGCTTCACTGTTACTCCACCTATTCGATTACATCCATCCAATCACCGTCTTAATCACACTACAACCGCCATTGTTGCAGAAATTCAAGATCTAATCTGCAATCTGTTGAATCTGGTTTACACAATACATATCTATTTCAATCAGGAGTGAATACACCCAATTTCGAATCAGGGTAACATTTTCTTTGTTTTTGGTTTCATCTTCATCGCATTCTTCCAATTGAAACTTCCCAGATCTCATCTTCATCTCCAAGATTCAGTTTTTATCTAGAAAATCGTTGATTGGATAATTGGGGTTTTAGACAATTGGGGATTTGATCGAATTAGGGAAATGAAAGATCTCAGTTCTTCAACAGATCCAATCGGGCAAAACGTGATAAAGGTTATAAGCAATGTAGGATTTTCAGTATTCGTATTCTCGGTGCTCATATTTACTGTAATCGCCATAACTTACCAACCCCCTGATCCATGGGAATCCTCCAGAGCCCTAACTAGGGTTTTCACGGAGGTTGCGAATGCCACTTTCCAGACCGATACTTCGGTTGTCAGAACCGGAGAGGACGTCGGAATGGTTGTTGTTAGCCCTGCGGCCGCCCCTGCGGCTGAGGCAGATGCACCGATCGCCCAAACGGACCCATTGATCGAGAAATCGACTGAAAATGTGATGAATCTGAGCATGGCTTCTGGTGGTTGTGATGAATCAAGTCTGGTTAATTGCTCGGATCGGGGAGTTCTAATGGCGATCAAGAAGTTCAATGTAAAACATTTCAAGTCTGTAGTGTTTCTCGAGTACCAAATGCCGGTGAACGGATCATCTCGAAACGAGTGCGATGTATCATGGAGGTTTCGTAATCGAAAAGAGAAATCTTGGAGGAGATATAGAGATTTTCGGAGGTTTAGAATTGGGTATGGCGAAGATTGTAGTTACAAGGTTGTAGGGGCAAAGGGTTGGCATTCGGGTATCAATGCAAAACGTCCGAGAAGTAGACCGAACGCCACGAGAAAAGGCGAGAAGGCTAAGATCACTCCATCATTTCGTGATGACGAGATCAATGACACGATCCCGATACTTGGATCGGATTCAGCTTTCAGGAACGGGAAATATTTGTATTATTCGCACGGAGGGGATTACTGTAAGAACATGAATCAGTATGTCTGGAGCTTCTTGTGTGCACTCGGTGAGGCCGAGTACTTGAATCGAACATTCGTGATGGATTTGAGCATTTGCTTAGCTTCAAAGTATACGTCGAGCAATAAAGACGAAGAAGGAAAGGACTTCCGGTTCTATTTCGATTTCGAGCATTTAAAGGAGACGGCTTCGATCGTAGAGGAGGTAGAGTTTCTTAAAGATTGGAAAAGATGGGAGAAGAACCACAAGAATAAAATCCCGGTTAGAAAAGTCGCGACTTATAAGGTCACGCCGATGCAATTAAAGAAAGATAAGAGCACGATCATATGGCGGCAATTCGACAACCCCGAACCAGAAAACTACTGGTTCAGGGTTTGCGAAAGTGGAGCGGGAAACTACATTCGAAGGCCATGGCATTCTTTATGGAAATCGAAGAGACTTATGAACATAGTTTCCGAGATCAGCGGGCAAATGGACTGGGATTTCGATGCTGTTCATGTTGTTCGGGGAGAAAAAGCCCAGAACAAAGCAATGTGGCCTCATCTAGATGAAGATACGTCTCCTGATGCCATCGTTACGAAGCTTCAAGGCGTAATTCAGCCATGGAGGAATCTATACGTTGCCACAAACGAACCATTTTATAACTACTTCGACAGATTAAGATCGCATTACAAGGTTCATTTGCTCGACGATTATAAGGATTTGTGGGGAAATAAAAGCGAGTGGTATAACGAAACTAAGGTTTTAAACAGTGGTCGGGCTATTCCGTTTGACGGATATATGCGAGTCGAGGTCGATACTGAAGTGCTTTATAGGGCAAAGACACGAGTAGAGACATTCTACAACTTGACTAAAGACTGCAAGGACGGTATTAATTCCTGCTGATCGGGTCATAGATATCTTCTATCGTTTGTATAACAAGTCGATAATGATGAACTAGAGTCGGGTTTGTTACGATTTTGATCGTTGATTTGTTTTTATCGATCCATAATCATATGTTGCTATTATTAAAATTGTAATAAAACACGTGTGTAGATCGAATTGATTCGTGTATATTAAGACGGAATATGAAAATACAAGCTTACATACACCAAGTCGATATTAGTTTTCGAGAACCACATGCTGGTTCTTGGAAGCGTCAGCTGGTCGAGCAGCGGTTATTTCACTGCACATTTCTTCATTGATGAGTGAATCCAAGAAGGAAGAGAAAGCATCGTCAGGGGAGCAAATTTGATCGTTGGCGGTGGAGCTGCTGCTACGGTTTTCAGGTGAAATCTCTTCTGGAGACGATAAACAAATGTTCTTGCGATCGGGGGCTAAAGAAGATGACAATGGTTTGTGGGTTCTTGGATCGATCCCTCGGCTGATCAACTTCTTGCTGAGGCAAGTGTTCCAGTAGTTTTTGATGTCGTTATCTGTACGACCTGGAATCCGTCCGGCTATCAGCGACCACCTGATGATTAATCGTTGAAACCAAAGTGTTTGATAGAAAACTGCTAAAGAAAGAGACTGAGAGTGATTACCGACCGATTACCGAGGAGGCGATGGAGGCGGAGGATGAGGTCTTCTTCATCGGGAGAAATGTGGCCTCGTTTGAGAGAAGGGCGAAGATAGTTCATCCAACGGAGGCGGCAGCTCTTCCCACAACGGAGGAGGCCGGCCTTGTCGGGTAGTGTGCGCCACCTCCCTTCTCCTTCTTTCTTAATATAAGTCGACAATAACTCATCTTCTTCCGGCGTCCACGGCCCTTTCTTCTTCATCCCTCTCATCTTTTCTGCCCTTCTTCTCCATGCCAGAATATAACTAGTAGTGTAATTAATATAAACAAATGAAGAAAGTTGCATCAAGTAGTAACTTTTACCCTTATTATCCATACTTTTAATTCCATTTCTTTTGAACTTGTTCCTCTTTCAGCAATTGCTTAATTCAGCAGTTTCCCACCATAGACACCATCCTTTTTCATTTCAACACTCAACCCAACCCAACCCAACCCAATTTATCAAACTAACCTATTTAAAAAACCAGGCCCTGAACCGAAAACAAAATTGGGACTGAGCTTTTAACCGATTCTGGCTAGTAGAACCGGACTCAGGCACAGACCCGTTTGCATCTCTAATCTGCAACTTTGATGTGTTTGTATTTCTGCTCGTTGTTGAAGACCCTAGCACTCTCCACCACTCCCTTCGTCACAAGTTCTTTCAATGCAGCAACTCCCTCTTTCAAACCGACATCAATCTTGCCAACCCCAACAACAAAGCATGAGACATTCTCGCAAATAACTTACCATAACAAGAATATAGATCTTTGAGAAAACTATGATTTAAATGAATAACATCTTACTCGTTCTTGAGCTGTTGCGTTGAACTTCTGAAGCAAGAATGCTTTGGGATCCATTTGACCAGGAGGCTTCCCTATGCCTAGACGGAAAAAGTAGAATGGCGATCAATCACGGAACCTATGCATCCAGTAAAGTAAAACCTTTTTTTTAATAAAAATGATTTATACCGATTCTCAACCGTACAAATTCCCTATTCCCACGGAAATGATAGATCACATTCTTCATCCTGATACAAAGAAATCACATCCTTAAATCAGAAGTATGGATAAGTTCTTGACTTGTTCTATTTGCATATACCAGTAAGGGCCTGTTTGTTAGCAGCTTAATGAGATTAATAGGACTTACCGCTTATTCAATTAGCTATACAAGATCGTTTGGTAGTTGCTTAACAATGATATAGAAAGTGGCTTAATGATATAGAAAGTGGCTTATTAAATAAGCTTCTAGGGGGAGCTTTATGCAGAAAGCCAAGTTTTTTTCCAAACTTGTCCATCCCCACCCAATTAAAAACACGCTTCTTCCATCTACCAAAAAGACCCTTCCAAACAAAAACCTTCCCAATCTATATAGACAGATTAATCCACACGGACAACTTTATATATACAAGAGTTGATGGAAAACCAACCAAACAGGCCCTAAGTCATTGATGTTATGATCAATAATACACAGACAGTTGTAAATTGCAGCAAAAAAACATTGAGGACGTCAACTGTGTCTGCTAATTGTGAAAAGTTAAAAGATAAATAATGACATTGCAATGAGAGTTCATATTATTCATACCCATTATGACTCCCATGCCCTCCCTTGGGCTGAAGCCGAAGAACCCCACATGGTAGATCCATATCATCATGGAACTACAGCCACAAGAAGCGAAAGCGTTAGAACACTACCCCCGCAAGTGAAAAGACAACAGTTCTAAGATAACTGTTGTACAAGTTATGATAGAGACCATACCACCACCACTCGATTTAGAGGGAGTTTGTAATATGCAGCAAGTGGACCACTCTGCAGTATACAAAATACCAAAGCCTTTTAGGTACCAAAGAAAAAAAAATTATTAGCTAGCTTGTCATGTATACATCAATAGGCTTAACATGCATGATCAGTAATTATATGTAGGAGGTATTTAATTGTTCTTCCAACTGAAATTCTCAATGTGAAACATTTGACAAAGAAAATTTTCACATTCTCTTCTAGCTTGCCTGCCTTCTTGTTGCATTAGTCAATGAACAAGTTCATGATCATAGCAGTTTAAAATTTTGACCATACACCTATACTGATCTGGAAAAGGTTTATGCCTTTTTCTACCTAAGATTTATCCTGTTCCCAAAGACAGGCCACTGGTATGTTCTCAAGTTCATGTGATATGACTGGACAAAACTCATTCAAATTAATATTGTAAAATTAATCATTCGTAGTAAAAAAAAAAAAGTTTGGTACGTTTTTTGAGAAATAATGTGGTATGCAGGATTTCATAATGATTAACCACGCAAACTTTTACAGACCAGAGGACTGTTGGAACAATGAAAGCTGCAAAACATCTAGGCACCAAAATGTAAACCATCTACAATCCATCTTTGATCCATAAGGAATCCATCGTCATAAACAGAAGGACCATGGACTCCAGTCCAGGTATTTTGTGCAACATTTTCGACATTAGGTGATCAAGATATTGATCTAAGATGTGAATTTTTGCCACCATATGGGTATTGTGCTCCTTTTTTAATTTGTTCTTTAAAGCAACCAGCAGAAGGGACGGAAGACTGAGACTTGAACCCCTGAAAATGAATTCTGAAGATAGAGAAATAGAACTTTACTGCATAGCACAACTACAGTTGGAATACTCTTGACTTCTCTCTGTTAATCCAATTGGATACATTTAAGAAATACATGTGGAAAAACAATTGTGGAAGGCTCGGCACCTCCTTCCAATACACCATGAACAGTTAGCCACAATGTATTCTCAGTTGAGATCACAAAAAAGCAGATACATTGTTCAGCATATGCCTACTTCACCATGCTACAATCTATGCTTATAGTAGAAAACAATCCTAATGAAGCAACATCTTATGTATTCTCGTATGTTTGTGGTTTCTATGCCGAAAAGCAAGTACTTTATCATCATTAAATCAATAGTCAAAGTGTAGCTTTATATTGTAAAAGATTAGCAAGTTATACAAAAACTCACCGATTCGCCACTCAAATTCATATATGTCTGAGGCTTTGCCAATAAAACTGGAACACCATCTACAATGCCTGATATGCCACATCCACATTAATCATGCACAACTTAGACTCAAAAATCAAAAAAGAACTTGCAAAAGGAAAGAACAATGAATTAGAAATTGAAGGAAGCTGACAAACCTTTTCCAAAAATAGCTTTACAGAAAACTGTGTCCATAGCAATCCCTTGTGACTCCGCAAAAGTATCAATCATGTTAAAGCCGACCTAATTTCTCAACAATACAACAAATTAGGGCAAAATATATATCATAAGATTTTCAATTGTGACGGAGCAAACTTAAGATTAAAAACATGTTTGAATTGGACAATATTAATTAAAAAAAACAATTAGGGTTTTGAAAGAGGCGAACGATCATGTGAGAAACAGAGTTAACGTTAGAAGCGTAAGAAGGGATCTGGACCCTTGATCACCTTTAATCTCAAACCACCTATGAATTGCACTTGATAGAGGGATCGATCCGGTGCATCTCATACTAATATGCATCCAAGGGTGGAGATCCCTTCTTACGCTTCTCACCTTAACTCTTCTTCTCACCCTGAACCCAACCCTTTGAAAGATAACATACATTATGTCTTGTTCCTTTGAATTTATCCCCGGGATTTCCCAAACCAACGAACAGCCATGGCCGTGGTAATTGAATTGCTGTGCAGAGACTGCGATTTGAATAAAGCTTGCTTAGCATCTCTCAATGTTTCCTTTTAGCCGGGCCTGCATATTTTTCAGAAACGAAGTTTTCTTTACTGTCACGTAATCTAATACCATAGGTCTATTAAATTTGGGAATTACTTAAGTTTTCTGTGTGAATTGTGAGTACAGAAGTTAAGAGGGTTGGTTTCGCAAAATTTTCAAATAACCACCAAATCATCTACTTGTCCCTATTTCTTACATCCCACGTCTTCTATAAACCAAAATCAACACTCATACCTTCTTAATCCAGCTGCAAACACTTAATTGGTTGATTCTTCTTCAATCCTTTTACACTTTGCAACATCAATGGCTCATTCCTACTTCACTTTTGTCCTCCTCATACTAGTTCTAGTCACATAAGGTGTTTATCTATGAAATTAGCTATTGCAGGACTTCCTTAGTCCATCATGAGTTTCATATAATCAAATTTAGGGTCTTGACCAATGACAGTCACGAGTTTCATATGTAAAATTAACAGGTCCATTTGATACTTGCAAAATTCTCTCGTTTAATTACGAAAAATTGCACCAGTTTTTTCAGTCATACCAGAAAAAAGAGTAAACTCTAATTTTGGTCCTTGAGGTATAGTGAAAAATCTGAAAGTGGGACCTGAAATTTGATAAGTCGTGAAAGAATAATATTTGTGGTGTGCATTTTACTTGGAAAATGGTCCATGGTCACTAGGGCTGGTCCTCAGATTTTGGATGCCCATCACGAAAGCCAAAAAATTGCCCCTAATATATAACCTGTGCAATTATTTCAGTTAAAGAACTAGTCACAATATGGCGGGATACAAAGTAAACCAAAAATGAAGAATATCGGTATAAAACAATACTGTTTCCATATGAACATGCAATAGAAAGAACTGAAGAAGCACAACTACAAGTCAACTAAATAGATAAAAAGAGCATTAAATGTAACAATAGAAACTTACAATTTTCTTCCAAGTGTTTTCAACTTCCCTCTAATGAGACTAGGAAACATGTCAGCCCCTTCTTGTCCGTAAAACCCAATTCAAAATACTCAATTTGTAGACTGCCTTCCTTGTTATTCATACCAAGCCATATCAACAACTTCTAGAACTAGCATGTCATAACAGTGAACAAACAAATAAACAAACCTAGTACAAAACTACAAAAGACATAAACATTATAATTTAGAAATTTACCAGAAGAAGTCTAAATCGAGATAGCAGCGTAGCAGAGACTTCGAGACAGCGTACCTTAAGAGAGAGTGAGAGAATTTCGTGAAATAGGGCAGCGTACCAGAGAGGCAGAGAATGAGTTTTCGTGCGGGAAGCGAGGCCGAGAGAGACGAGTTGGGCGTTTGCGATTGCGATTGCGAGTTTGCGATCATCGAACGGTAACTTATTTTTGGTCCAAAAATGAGCCTCGTATAAATGGGCTAAAAATGAGCCTCATTAAATGGGCTTGAGCATTTGGGCTGCGCCATCCCCCTTGGTCTATAGCCACTTAGCCACTAGCCCACTAGCCAGGCTAGAGACGGTTAAAAATCGGTTTTCTGTTCGTGATTTTTCTTTTATAAACAGTCTCATGGTATCCATTCTGTTCCTCTTATATAAAGTCCGGTTCATAGAATCGGGTCCGGACCAGGTTTAAATAGGTCTCAAATATTTTTCCCATAAATCAATTTTAAATATATAAAAAATCTTATTTGAAAATTTCCTTTTTTAAACAATATTTTATTAAAATACACTTTAAAATATCTGATTGTGTCATTCAAATACACTTCAATATTTTTTCTACACAAGAATGTTATCTATGTTTTTATAATTACGATTTTGAAAACTTCAAAAAAAAATTCAAAAACTTAAAATCTTTAGTAAAAAACTTAAAAATCTTATAAAAATCTTGAAAAACTTTATATATAATTTATAAAAACTTAATTCTTTTTTTTATAATATTGTGCCTATTTATAACCGGGCCTGGAATTTTCGTAAAAATCATAACCGGTCACGGGCCAGGGCCGAACTTATTGGTCACCAACTCTATTAAAAAATATCCGTTAATTAAAGAGCATTTTTTATATTTTTGTTGTTTTTATCACATTTTAAATGTAATTCTTAATATAATTTTTTTACTCACGACAATTATTAAAATACATTAATCATAAATTCTAAGCAACATATTTCATTTATTCTATCTTTATTAAAGAATATTTAATTATTAGTAAATATTATAAGGGTATTCGTGTAATGCAACGAGATATATTTCGATTTTAATGTTTCGTTTTATTCCGTCTATGTAGATGTTATAATACAGTTTTTATGTGGTTTTGAAAATAAATATATCAATATTAATATCAAAATAATTATTTAAAAATTCTTGTTTTCTATATAATTTATTCAATTAATTTTTTTATTACAATTTAGTTTAGATTTAGTAACAAAGTTTTTATTTTTGATTTAATAATATAATTTTTTATAAGAATATAATTAAGTATTTTTATTAGAACTTGAGTTATTTTAATTATATTTTTAATGTTTTATATTTAACATAAAATGTTTATCTTGTATTTGACTATGTTTATCTGCAATTAATAACACGAATTCAAAAATGAAGTTTTAATAAGTTGTATTTATGCACAATTTATTTGTAATCTTGAATATTAAGTAATATATATCAATAAACGTTACTTCATGTATAAAAATGATTTTTAAGAGTTCTTTGTCAAATACTTTATAATATAACTAGAAGGGTACTCGCACAATGCAGCGAGATACATTTTGATTTTAATATTTAATTTTATTCTTTATCTCATTCGATGTTATAGTATGGTCTTATGTGATTTTGAAAAAACAATAATGTTTTTATTTTTGGATAAAATATAAATTTGAAGATATTATAAAATTTTGACAAAAATATATCGATATTAATATTAAATTAACTAGTTAAAATTCTTATTTTCGTGTAATTTTTTAATTCAATTTTTTTTAATTATAATTTAATTTAGGTTTAATAACGAA